ACCACCACCACCACCACCAGACACCATCTCTCGGATTCCATTCTCACTTTTCCCTTTTGTTAGTGCGAGCATCTGGAGTGGCGGCCACTGAATTTGAACGGGTGACCTGCAGCTACCGAAGCAAACTTGCCCGTTTCCTCCAACAGGTGAGCTCCCTCCACCTCCACGAGGGCTTGGTGAAGACTACGCCTTACTCAAAACCTTACGCGTTGGCGGCAGGCGGCGACTCATCATGATATAAGCGCGAATTTCTTCGAAGACCCACACGTAGTCTATGCGCTCTTCTTCTATGTGGTCGACCCGAACAAGGCAGTCCGTGAAGCGATCGCGAACCTTATCGTAAGGTAAGTGGGTCATTTTTAAGAGGAGGCTGTCCCATCGCAACTCCAGCTAACCTCTCGTCTCTCCGCCAGCACGGGCGCATTCAAAGGGCACATGGATGCGATCCTCACCATAGCGCTGCGCCACGTGCGCGCCTTCTTGGAGGGCACACGCGATTGCATGAGAGACATTGCAGACATGGGGATTTCGTCCTGCTTCCGCTCCTGGTCGCACCTCTTCTTCTACTTGGGCAAGATATTGCCCGGGGTATGCGCCGCACTGCCACACCCATCATGATACGCATACCGTAGTTGATGAACTTACTTTACCTGGCCCATCAACCAGTGCATCACAGCGGCCCAAGAGGGCGAAGTGTCCGAGGATAATCAATCGGCACGAGAGTGCATTGTGGAGGTCCTACAGATCATCGACACAGTGATCACCACCGTATTCATCACCGCCAAGGTACGAACCGAGATCCTGCCCGAGGCAGTTGCCGTTTCCTCACTTGTGCTTTCCGTGGCATCATCTGGATCCTGCAGCAATTTCGCGAGAGGCCGGAGTACCCTGTGACCATGGTCCGCTTCTTCGAGTTCATCAGTGTCATGCTGCCGCTCTTTTCTTCCGTCTGGGACGCTGGCTGGGACGAGAGGCTTCAAAGCGACGAGGTAACGAACATCAGCCTTTGTTTGGTGTGGGTACGGGTCGGACCAACGTTGCTAACATGAAAGTGTCATACAGGCTCCGTTGGTAGCCACCCACGACCAATGGTTTTCGGACTTCTTCCGCTTTGCTGCGGAGAGTGACGCTGGTATTCAGCGGCGATGGTTTCAGTGCTTGATCGCCCTCCTCAAAGGCATGCTCCTCCCGCCCATACCTGATCAGCAGGTCGCGAATGCTAACCTGAAGGGTGAACAGGCCTGGACAAGCAAGGACTGTACCTCCTCTCCTTCCAAAAGGACTTGTGCAAGAATTTGCTTCGGGGCGGCACTCTGCTCGATGACCAAAAGAATGAGCTGGCCGCCTTCTTCCCAGGTACGTCATCACTGTTTCCTTGCTGCCGCTCCGCCGAGTGCTGCTCACCACACCATTCGGCCCGTGTGATAGGAGTCAGTGGCAATCTTGGCCTGGAGTGGCACACCAACCTGCCTTCGAGTCTGGGTGCTTTCAAACCCGCGAAGGAGAAAGAAAAGGAGGAGGAAGAGAAGGAGGAGGATGAGAAGGAGGAGGAAGAGGGCGACGAGAATGGCGACCTCGAGCAGTACAATTGGCCTCACGCTCGAGCACAAACCAAACCGCCCTCGACCAGTACCACCTCTTCGTTGCTATCGAGTTGGCTGAGCAAGAAGGAAGCCAAGCCGGCTTCCAGCACTTTCAGATCACCGTCGGCGGCCCTTCAAATGTGGGCTTCATCTGCACCGGCTAAAGCAATCGCACACATCGCCTCAACATCGAGGAAGAAGACGGAGCTAGACAAAAAGAGGAAGGTGGATATGAAGAGCTTGCGGAGGGGCGTCGGCACCTCGGACGCCATGCGCATGCGGATCAGCGCAGAAGAGAGAGTGCGATCGAACCCACGGGAGCGATTCAAGAAGCGGAACTCCATCAACTCGGACTCCCAATTCCGGCGGCTGTCCGAGTGGAACTTTGGCCAGGAGCCCTCGGTAGAGCTGGACAATGGCCCTACAACCGAGATCGACAGGTACCACCCGCCCACCCACGACAGCACTCGCTCTAGTTGTGATCATGCATAGTTTACATCGCGCCACGTGTAGGAAAGTGGAGGAGGTCCTCCAAGCGAGGAGAGCCGAAAGAGAGCAAAGAGCACAGGGATCACGCAATCCTCAGCATGGTGTTGGTACGCGTAAAACCACATCTATATCTGCATGCGGGTGGTGGTACTGCGTGTCCGTGACGTCTGAGTGAACCGAGCTGACTTGATCTTCGCGCAGGAACAAAGCTTATTCAGCTGCCTGGGACGATTCCTGCACTGGAGCAGAAGAGACGACGCGAGCAAGAGGCCCAACGACGGCGGGAGCTTCTTTCGCCCAGCCTCGACCCCTTGCACGCAATCATACTCGGCTGGGACTATTTCAATCTCGAAGCTTCGGTACGTGCTCCGCCTGCCTGCCTTGTTTGCTTCTTCTTTTGTACACGTGTGTGTGTGTGTGTGTGTGTGCACGTGAGCAGCACAAACGCGAAGACTTGCGCCAAGTGCCCATTCGGTTCAGCAGCGCCGAGGACTACATTCGCATCTTCCGACCTCTGCTAGTTGAGGAGTTCCGGGCTTCTCTCGAACAGGACAAAGAGGAAGACGGTACACCTTTCCACTTCTCCTTCTACCCATTGCTGCCGCGAACGGCGTGACTAATTAGTCGATCTTTCCTGTTGGTTGGTGCTGCTTACTCTAGAATTCCCTCACGTCCAGCAAGTCAAACTCTCCTCTCTGGACAAGGTCGACTCCTTCCATGTCGTGCATTTCAAGTACAAGGTCGAGCCGGATAGGCATGCTCGTGACTTCTTCGAGAACGACATCTTGCTCATCGCAGACCAAAGAAACGTGTGTACTTGACTATCCGTGTAACGATTCGGTGAGTCCCATTACTGACTGTGTCGTGTGTATCGCGTGTGTCGCGTGTGTCGCGTGTTAGCTAAAGTCTGGAAACCACTTGCTGGGGCTGGTTGAAGGAGTAAAAACCGAGCGAGGAGCCGACCGAGAGACCCAAGCAATCCTGAAAGCCAAGGTGCACAACCTTCCTCGTGATCGAGCTTCATTACTGTTGCTTGTTAGCTTACCATGAACCATTTCAGATCCTCCTCAAGGGAAAGGCACAGTGGCTTCGGATGGGCCAGCTCTACTTTGTTAAAAAAGGTGCTTTCCTGTCCCACAATTAAACCAAAGTCTTGCGCGCTTACACCCAACCTCTATGCTGCTAGGTCTCCCGTATAACGACCACGCACCGCGAGTTCAAGGCCCTCATGTCCGCCGCGCACCTACACTTGTACTCGACGATCATGGACCCTGCGTCTCACAGGGTACACACCCTTACTCCAAATTATTGACTGGTTCCTGCTTGTTCCAACAGGTCGACTTACTCTTCCCTCCAGCCGAGCGAAAACACCAGCTCACGTCGCCTGCCAAGCGCCTGTGCTCATTTTATCAAGGACCGATACAACCCCTCGCAACTGCAAGCGATCGAGGTATTGCACCTCCGCACACCTTATCTCAACACTACTCTTTTGTTGATCAATTGCTTACCTTGCTCCCTTTCAGGCGAGCTTGTGTGAGAGTGACAGCTTTGTACTGCTCCAGGGACCTCCCGGTATGTCGTTCACTCGCTTTCCCCTTGAAATGCAAACAACTAACAGAGCGTTACCTCTTCACAGGCACGGGAAAAACAAAGACGATTCTGGGCATTTTGAGTTCGTCGCTCATCATGTCGCGCCTGTCTCAAGCAACCCAAACCGATCCGAACAACAAAAGGTAGGCTCTCCCATTGCACTCCTGCAAACTCAACCCCGTGGCTCATACACAACCAGAAATCCTGTTCTCGTTTGTGCTCCCTCGAACGCCGCCGTGGACGAGATCTGCATGCGATTGCTCGAGGATGGGCTGTTCAACGAGGTTCCTAACCATCATGGGCTCAGTGCCTTGCGTACCGTCCTTTTAACGTGTGAAACAATGTGGTGCATTCAACACAACCGCAGACGGGAGAGCGGTACATTCCGAGGATGGTACGCATGGGTGTCGAGTCATCCGTACACCCGATGGTCAAGGCCATCACGCTTGCGAGCCTGCTGGACGCCGAGAGCGACAAAGGGAATAGCGTCCTCAAGAAGGAGCAGGTGGAGTTCGAGGGCTTCCGAACGAGTACGGCCCAGCAAGCTTGGGATTTTGGCTCCCCCCTCCTCCCCACATGTAAGGCAACTTACCAATGCTCTGTCCGCCGCGCGCAGAAACCGACGCAACGCGCAAAGAACTGGAGCAGGTCCTGAAGAAGATCAGCGCACTCCAAACAGAGTTGACGGTACGCCCACCGCGGCAGAGCGAAATGAAGAAACCCGTAACTCATTCCTCGCGGGTCTTCGTTCGGTCAGGATCTGCGCAAGCGGAGAGAGGAATCCCTTGCATCTTCAGGCGGCCTGGGCCTGACCCCAGATGAGAAAGCCGAGTTTGCGAAGGAAAGCGAGGTTGGCGGTCACCCACTCTCTTCCCATTACAGACAGTGAAACCATTGTGCTGACTCTTCTTCTTCCTCCTCCTCCTCCTCCGCAGCTCCGCCGTGAGCTAACTGAGCTACACAATGGTAAGGCCAAGTTGGGTAAGGAGATCAGCCGATTCCACGAGACCAGAAAGAAGTATGGAAGCAGGGTGTCCAAGCTGCGCAAGCAGATGGAGCTGCAGATCCTCAACGAAACGGACATCGTGCTCACCACCCTGTCGGGAAGGTACTGCACGCTTCCAGTCCTTCCCTCCTCAGCTCTTTGACGGGAGCGCCCCACCTCGCTGATCGCTGGTGTGCTCTCTTCGGCAGTGGCTCCGATATCTTGTCGCACATGAGCCATGGGTTCGAAACGGTGGTGATCGATGAAGCGGCGCAGGCTGTCGAGATGGCCACGCTCATTCCGCTCAAATACGACTGCAGGTACTTTTAGCCTTTCCTCTATCATCAACATCACGTCACTAATCCGAGTGTATGATGACCCTCATCGATTCAATGCATTCAGGCGATGCATACTTGTGGGCGATCCCAACCAGCTTCCGGCGACTGTCATTTCGCAAGCGGCATCGTCGTTCCTGTATGCGCAGAGTCTGTTCCAGCGGCTCCAGAAAGCGGGTGCGCCCTCTCAAACGTGCCTTGTTTTCCTGCGACTGCGTAGTTTGCTCACTGTTCCGACCCACCACACACCACCACGCACCACCCCACCAGGCCATCCGGTTATCATGCTCGATGTACAGTACCGCATGCATCCGTTGATCCGCGAGTTCCCCTCCAAGCACTTCTACGACAACCGACTAACTGACGGACCCAACATTGGTGCGGCCCGCCTCATCCACCTGCACTCCGCGGCCGCGCGGTGCGGCCCAACTCACGCCGTGACTTTTTTCTTCGCTTTTGGGTGTCCCTCAGATACAAGCCAAAGTGGCCTGTACAACCAACCCTACCACGCCGATCCGAGCTTCCAGCCTTTCCTCTTCTACGACCTGTGCAAGGGTGTCGAGGAGCAAGGTACACGCCAGGCCCTGCTCGATCCCTCGTCGACGCTGACCAACCCTGACCCAACTCCCCTCTCCCCCCTCCCTCGTACAGGTGCCCGCGGGCAGTCCTATGTAAATCCGGCCGAGGCCACTTTTTGTCTGCAACTCTTCCAGGACCTGTGCTCGCGCTTCCCACATATTGAGGTTAGCTCGCCCAGCTCGCCCCACACACGTTGTTTCCCACCATCAACAGTGCGCATCTACGAACTATTGATATATTTTTTTCCACCACATAGTTTGGTGGTAGAGTGGCGTGATCACGCCGTACAAGCAACAGTACTTTCTGCTCCAGCGGACCTTCGCTGCAGCTTTGGACAAGGCGACCTACAGTGCCATCGACATCAACACAATCGTACGCGCTGCACTTCTCCTCCCTTAATTGTATCGAACGTATTTCTTATTTCCCGCTGCTCCACCAGGATGGGTTTCAAGGACGCGAGAAGGACGTCATCATCTTTTCCTGCGTCCGAGCTCACGAAAGTACGCCAACCGTCGGCCGACGCTGATTTGATGAAGATGCATGTTTGCGCAAAAACGTGACTGACATGTTTTGCTGCGCAGCGAAAGGCATCGGTTTCCTTTCGGACATCCGACGCATGAACGTGGCCCTGACCCGCGCCAAGTTCGGACTCTTCGTGGTGGGCAAATCGACCGCGCTGCTCAACAATCCGCACTGGGGCGCTCTGGTCAACCACGCCAAGGAGAAGCAATTGTGTACGTCTTCTTGTTCGGAGCATTAACTCGCCCGTTGCGCGAACCCTTTCTCAACAGTTGTTCGCTCATCTACAGATAGGCGCGTGGACCCATCCAGCATCGGCAAGCGCCCCCTGCAACAACCACATCACGCACAGAGGCCCACGAAGAAGAGCAGAATCGCTGCACCTACCCCATCAGCTGTTGATGCGGTACCTCCGCCCAAGCGACCACGGGACGAGTCCCCCTTCGATGGTCGACCCGAGCCGACAAAGCAAAGGAGGACCGAACCGAGGCCAGCTCCGGCACCGCGAGCAAGCCAACACACAACATCGTCGTCGTCCGCCGGTGCCGCCGCCATCCGTAGAAGCTTCTCGGCCGACGACGACCCGCTGGCGGCCGCCCTCGGCCCTTTGCGCCCAGCAGGCCGACTACCCTCTTCGTCGGCGGGTGTGTCTGCGCGGGCATCCCCCTGCGGCCGTGCCACCCGCCCCTGCGCTCACGGATGAAGAGAGACTGTCCCGGTGGCGCGAGAGGCAGCAGCTACGCAAAGCTGGCGCAGCCACGAACAAGGCCACACCCGCGGCAAGGGGAGGAGTACGCCCCACGCCGCACTCGGCGCCATCATCGCCCATGCTCGACGACTCGGCCCGCAACGGCGCCCCACGACCACCTTCGGCGGCCGCGGCGGCAGCAGCGAAGTCCAGACGGGCGCCGCAGCCCCAGGCCGCTTCGAGGCTGACCCAGAGCGCGTCGGCCGTCTCGCACACGATGGTCGAGCTGGACCGCATGGCCCAAAGGCTGGGGCCATCCCGCAACGGCGCGCCACGACCAACTTCGGCGGCGGCGGCGGCTGGGCAGACCACGCGCCAGATGAAACCCTCTTCTGCCAGACGCACTCGCGACCAGTAAGGACAAAAGAGGCCAAGAACAAGCGGAGGAATTGCTGTCGACGTAAGGTTTTTGTAATTTTTTTCTGCAGAGTGAGATTTTGGTTGATTGCATTTCTGGCCATTAATCAACACTGCACGGCAAGATGGATCCGGAAGTTGCGGAGGAGCAGGCCATGGAGATGGAGGCCCTTCAGGCCATCTACATGGAAGATATTGAAGGTCAAGACGCGCCTGCCTCACTCCCCCTGGGCTCAAATTCTCATCTTATTTTCTCAATTACAGTGCTGGGTTCGTCGCCGCATGAGTTTCAAATCAAATTGGTGCCCGATGGCAGCGACTCTCTACGTACGTCCATCCAATCTTGTTGAATGCACCGTGACCAAGCGCTCAATTACAACGTGTGTGCTGGTGTGGCGATGGTGTAGCGGGAGTGATCCTGAAGGTCACGTTCACGCCACGCTACCCAAAAGAGGCGCCGCAGCTCGAGGTGACCCCGCTGCGCAACATCGACGCTGATTCATGCGCCAGCCTACGAGACCAGCTCGATGCGGAGGTACGCACCTCCCCCCCCAATGAACCGTCGGGCGGTGTGCTGCCGCTGTGCGTCTGCTGCGGTTGCACGTAATGGAGAGAGTTGCCCACACGTCTTGACCGCTTACGCTGCTGTGACGTGTGTGTGTCGAATGTGTGATAGGCTCTTCAAAACCTGGACATGGCCATGGTGCTCACGTTGGCCCAGATGGCCAAGGTTCCTCCCTCCTTCTCTTTTGCTTCTCTTCCCTGCACACAGGGCCAGCTGCGCATGTCACGCACCATTCGCATCCTCACGGTCGCACGCACCGCCGCACACACACACGCACCGCCGCACACACACACGCACACGCACACACACCACCGTACGCGCACGCGCACGCGCACGACAGGAATGGCTCGAGAACATCAAGGACGAACTGGCGCGCAAGGCCAGGGAGCGAGAGGAGCGAGCCCGGCTGCAAGAGTACGAGGAGGAGCAGGCGCAGCAGATCATCCAGGAGCGTAAGTTCCAGGCCGGCACGCCAGTCAACCCCACCACTTTTGCCGGTGCGTCGCCCCCACCACAGTGCCGCGAGTGGTTTGTTCGGGCCAAAGTCTTAACCAACGGACACACACGACAGAGTGGAAGGCCAAGTTCGAACTCGAGACGAAATCAAGCAAGCTGCGCACGGCTACGGAGGAGGAGAAGCGACTCTCAGGTTTGTCAGCGCGACCACAAACTTTGGCTCCACTCCCCTCCCCTACGCCGGACTCACTCCCCATTTCTTTCTTCTTCTTCTTGCCACACATCAGGGCGGCAATTGTTCGAGATCGATGCGTCGCTGTTCGCCTACGACGACATCGACGAGGAGGAGCTGCCCGAGTTTTGATCTCGAGCGCTCGGCTCTCGAGGTCTCCCCTCTGGG